AATTATTTTAATTTCTTTGGCAATTTTTGAACAATATTTTTTACACTTCAAATGGAACATACGCTGAACTAGTACTAGATTATGCTTCGAGTGTACTAGAGTATCAGATTCTTAGAGAATGTACTAGATCTAGTACAATTGTACTAGACTGGCAACACTGGCCCCAGATTAACCTACACCAGATACGAATGTACGAGGCGGCAATAGCCTAGAGCTCCCACCACTTTCTTCCTAGATCCAGCGGAAGAAATAGTACGGACGATTGCGTTGGCTCCAGTTTCAGCAGAGCTTGCGACCGTTGAACGTTTAGTCCGACCGCCTAGGTTACAAAACATCGCCGAACTTGTGAATTTGTGAAATTTATTATGAAGGGATATAAATTTGTAGATGTTGTACATCTGAAAATAGAGATGGGACCAAATTTTAATTTTTCTTTTGGTTTTGTCTGACTTTTTCGAGGATTTCAAATCTCTGTGTGCATATTTAAGAGTATAAAAAATTCTGAGTCTTATAATTTAATGGTGTACATTTTCGCAAATTGTTGGCAAGGATGACCAAATTCTATTTTCCTCATCTCAAAAAGGTATGCGTTGGAAATTCCAGGCTTAGTTGACAAACTATCAAATAGAGATATAAATATTTTTTCTAATTTGAAAACATAAAAGATAAATTTTTCGCTGGGAGATTATAAATTGCCAAACACCTTTTCTTCAGAGTCGCATGCTTTAAAATGCGTTAACAAGTTAGAATTGTTAAGTAAATTGCATTCTTCTGAGAAATTTACGCAAATTTCGCAATAGTGGATATGTAATGATTTTTTAATTAAATAGCTACATACATAGTTAAATGCATTTTGAGTGGTCACATTTAGCTCCCTGTAGTCACATTCAGAAATCGTTATTACCCCAACTGATTGTTTTGAAATATATTTAATTGTCATTAAGCGGTAAACTTGTTTACCCAAGGGAAAAATGAATCCCGGGATTCCTTTCCAGTGTGTGCCCCACTGCCACTAGTGCCCACGAGCCGCCACTGCACTTGCGATGCAGGCATTTGCGGTCAATAATTTTTTTGTGACACTTGCGGTAGTACCTAGGTTCTAAGAATTGTTGCTACAAGCTGCATGTATGGTATATTTGATTCTGATTCAAATGAAGAACCTAGAAATATTTACTAGAAAACTAACAGAAGACGATCTAATTTGGAAAAACCCAAAATATGCTGGTTTGTTTACTAATTAAATATATAACAGAATCATAACAGGAGCCATGAAAACAACACTGACTAGAGCCATGAAAGTCATTCTTAATCTCACTCCCCTTGATATTTACATCAAGGATGTTGCTCTGATGACAATGACACGCCTCCGTACGGTCGGAATAGAACCTGATGTAGGATCTGGTGAGGCGAGACGTCTCTTTTGACAGGAGGCGCTGGATACGCTTCCACTGCTTCAAGCGAACATGGACTCCATCTGACCAAAATATATCTTTCATAAGCCATATATATAAAGTTATAATAGAACAAATAGAAGAGCCAGAAGTGGCAGGTACGATGTGACACACAGCAAACTGTTATACGAGAAAACATATGCCGAATTTATAGCATAAATAAATAAAAATTGAAAGTAAGATAACTTTATTTTTGAAAAGTACGGTCGACGGAAAAGTTCTGTAACGAATTCGCGAATTATTTCAACCCTTTTAAAGATTAAGGGTTTCTACAAAATAGTCTCCCGCAACATTTACTACTGGTATTTTTATTTAGTAGTACATGATTTACCATTCATGCGAGTCACTCAGAATTAGTTTTATATCGGTGTGTTTCAGAAATTTGTTAATTTATGAATTCGTTAAAAATAGTGAAAACTAGCAAAGGGAAACCTTGCTCATTGCATAATGGGTACCATTATCGATTGTATCGAAAAAATCGCGACAAAATATCTTGGGTGTGTTTAAATGAGAAGGAGTCTTGCAAAGGATCAGTTAGATCCGTATTTCATAGAATAAGAAGGAATAGCCAGAATATACCTAAAGAACCCAACAAATCTTTGGATATTCTACTTCCGGAAAATATTTTGAAACTTCCGGAAAGAGAAAAATTTTTACTCTTCGAAAGGAGAGGATAATAACTTTTGCAAGTTACCAAGAGAAAGAAGCTCTGTCAAGTTATCCTAATTTTTTCATGGATGGCCCTTTTAAAAATTGTGCGTAGCAATTTCAGCAAATCTACACTATTCAGGTAGATATAGGAAGTACGCATGATTCAACAAATAATATTTAAGTTTGCTATGCTCTCTTGCCAAACAAACGTCGGCAAACATATGAGACACTTTTCGCAACTTTGAAGATAATGGTGCCTGGATGGAACCACAAAGCAATATCATGTGATTTTGAGGAAACAGATATAGGTGCAACTAGAAGTGTATTTCCGGAAAATGGAATTTACGGCTGTAATTTCCATTTTAATCAATGTCTTTAAAGGAAATTGGACTGGTTCGCGAATACAATGAGAATGAGGAAATTCGGCTTTATATTAGGATGTGTTCGGCATTGATTGGCATATTTAGGTACCACTGAATGACATTGATGAAGGTTGGTTAACTATTTAATCAGAATATCCTTGTAATGAAAAACTGTTTGAATTTTATGATTATTTTGGTAACCAACAATCCAATAATCACACAAAAAATGTGGAACGTTTTTAAAAGAAAACACAAATAATAGCGTAGAAATCTGAAATAGCCGATTAAATGCATTATTGAAGAAGCCTCTCATCCCAATGTATTTATTTAATTTAATACAACTTTTAAAAAGTGAGTCTCAATCGTACTACGATTTTATCATACAAAGACAAGATTTAAATTTAAAAACCCCTAAACGAAAAAGGCAATACCGAAAACTCGATGATCGGATTGAAAAAACTGTTATTGGGTGTAAGATGAACCGAGATATCAAACATTTTTTGAAAATATTGAGTTATGAACAGAAACTCCAATGACTTAGGATAATTTCATATGTGCATATATATTATATTTGTGTGTTAAATATTTGTGATTATGAGAATAATATTAATTTTCGAATTTTTTTGTTTGTTTTTTTTCGCATTGTTTTATTTAATTAAATTACAAATAAAAACATTGAATCATTCAATTTGAATGATAAGTAATAACAAAATATCAGTACTAAAACAAAACATAAGACACCTTTTTCCATTTTTTCAAATATGCTACAACTGGTATCAAGAACTTTTATTATTGATTTTTGACAAAAAAATATTTTTTATAAAAGTGCTTCATTCAAAACATAATATTGGTTAGACATATTTACTTTGATTAGTTCGTTCTCCCCATGTATTTAAAATCAAATAAAAGTATATTAGTCTACGCAATACAATTTAATAAACTATAGTACAATTTATACACGAAAACAAACGTCAAATTAAGAAATCATGGTCTAGTCAGAAAATGAACCATAAATAACAGTGAGATTAATTTTAATTTATTCTTGTTTTTTAAGGTCTTAGATTTGAAAAATAATATTGTTTTAATGGATTGAAATAAATTAGCAAGCCTTTTTTTGCAATTGCCTGTACTTAAAAAATGAGCATATTAAACTAGGTCAAATCTATTATTTTAACTAAATGCCATTACATAAAATAATCTGTGGAAACTAATTTCACATGTAACAGTTCACTAACTTGGGTCCCGGGACATAACAGGGTACAGGGTAACGAGATTGTAGATAGTCTCGCAAGAAAAGGAACTCAAACACTCTTTGTGGGACCTTAGCCGTTCTGTATCAGGTATCAGCTGTAAGAATATTAGGATATATTAAAAAATAATTGGGCAGTAAAAATATGGTAAAAGAACCGATAATAATTGAAAGAATCTCTTGGGGTTTAGACTGGCTAAGATAATTCTGGATGAATATAACCAGAAAAGATCTGAAGCCGGTATCTGCCTGAGCAAGAACAGGCTACGTATTGTAACAGGGGCCCTTACTGGGCATTGCCGACTCAAAGGACACCTTAGTAAACTGAGAGAAGTAGAAGATAGTGAGTGCAGATTCTGTGAGGAGGAGGAGGACGAAACCTCCATTCACATTCTGACTGAATGTGTAGCACTCCAGAATCCAAACTCACTATACCTAGGAGCATATCAAATAGAAGAGGAAGATTTATCTAACTTGAAGCCAGTCCTAATCCTACACTTCCTTGAGAAGATAGGAATAGAAGGGTCGTTATAGACATTGAGACATTTCCTTGCTGCATTAGCGACAGAAGAGGTCGTATGTATTGTATGTATACACCCCATTACCAACATAACACCTCACTACGAACTTTGCAACAAAAAAAAATAGAAACAAAATATTGTTGTTTTAAAATAGGAGGCTGTTATTTCATATTTAAGCGTAAATATTTTTTTAAACAATTTTTTTTTAAATAACTTGTTTCTATATTACTATAAAGATATAACTTTTCTCGAACCAAATTCACATTTTAGATGGTATTTTTTTTTAAGGTTTTGTGTTAATATCATGTTTTGAGATAAAAGACCAATTTTTATCAAAAATGATTTTTTTTTATTTCGCCCACTTTTTGGAGCACACTGTATTACTAAGGGTTTCACCTCCTAACTAAAAAACACGCTTTTAGAGCATATCAAACTAAAAAGTTAAAAATAATTTTTCAAATAAACTTAAAACAATAATAACTAGTATTATTGTGAAAAAAGCGTGGGGCACTTTGTCCATATTTCTCGTACCGACGCTTTTTTCACAATACTTTCCATTCATTATTGTTTTAAGTTTATTTAAAAAAATATTTTTAACTTTTTAGTTTGATATGCTCTAAAAGCGTGTTTTTTAGTTTTTTTAAACTATATTTATTAGGTTTATTCAGTACTATTTTTTACATGTAATTGTTAAAAACAGTGTTGTTAAATAATTTTTTTTAAATAAATTGGAAAATGTCTTATGTGTATATTCTGTATTTTTTAGGTAGTGTTTAAACTACACGATTTGGATGAACAAGCGGATTCGTTCATTCCCGAAAAAGCGTTAATTGAAGGAGACTGCAAAAATGAAGACTATGCTTTCATGAGAATTTCCTGGACAGGATATAGCTTAGTTATTAATTTTGCAAAGGTATGTTTTATTCGTATACATTGGGGTCTATTCTGTAACAATTCCTTTATATTTAACGGCCTTTAAAAATATTTTCGTCTTTACTTCTGTCATTATTTAAACGGATCTTTAAAATACATTAAAGACCTATCTTAAAGAAATCTGTTTAAGTAATGACAGAAGTAAATTAACGAATACGAAAATATTTTAAAGGCCGCCAATATTTTTAAAGGCCGTTAAATATAAAGGAATTGTTACAGAATAGACCCCATTATGCTTTTATTTTATATTTAGTAAATAGGTAGGGTGGGTAGGTAGGTATACCCATTTTATTAAATTTTTCTCATAAACAAATAAAACTTCTTTGGTATTCCTAATCGGTTAATTTATACGGAAAGTAAGCTTAGGTTAATATAGCACAAGTAGAAGTTGGAAAGGCTTTTGCCAGTTCTCCCACTTTATACACATAAATTGACAGGTTTGCGGCGGATCTCACCGAAGTGGACGCGATACATTGGCGTACAAAATTATTTTATAGATGTTAATAACAATTTCGAGTAAATAATTTAATAAATTGTGAATAGCTGTTGAAATTTTGTAAAATTTGATTTGAATATTTTAATACATGTTTAATAATTATTTGTAGTCCATAAATACACGCGATTGTCCAGTTTCGCAATTTAAAATTACTTATTCTATGAAACGACACTGGCAGGTAAACATTACTGCGCTTTATATCCTCTACCTAACCAAGTCCACAAAACTAAATTTATTAATACTTTTTACAAATACATTATTATTACATTCATTTATTGTTTGTAAATTCATAGTGAAGTAACATTTATGATTCGATTTTTGATTAGAGGGTGTGGTTTTTATTATAATAGATATATATTTAAACATTTGTCGTATGACAGATAGCGAATAATGGAAATGTCTAGGATTACCAAAAAATTAGATGTTTCAAACCACTAACGTCTTATCAAAAAACCACCCTTTATAAAAAGACGTTCACTTTTTTTTATAAAAAAAACTAAGAGGAGTGACAGATTACGTCTAGTAGATATGATAATTAACTCGTAATGCCTCTTGCAGTAAAAAAATTAGATGTTCTAAACCCCTGGCGTCTTATAGAAAAACCACCCTTTATAAAAATATAATTCTGTTTCTTTTATAATTATGTGGCGTGACAGATTACGATTACTGGATATAAGAATTACCTCATAATGTCTACTTACAGTAAAAAATTGACTGTCCTAAACGCCTGGCTTCTTATAGAAAAACAAATCCTTTATAAAAAAGATAATTAATTTTTTTTTGAAAAACTATGGCGTGACAGATTACGATTAGTGGATATAGAAAGAACCTCACAAGGTCTACTTACAGTAAAAAACCTCCTGTCCTAAACCTCTGGCGTCTTATAGAACAACCACCCTTTATAAAAAAATATATATTTTTTTTAATATATGTGGCGTGACAGATTACGTTTAGTGTATATGTTACGGTTAAAGTGTTTACTTGGATAGTTTATGGACTAGCTGGATAGTATAAAAACTATCCAAATGGCTGGTTGTTTTGATGGAAAATTATATTTCCACTAAAATAGCTAAGAATATTGGTTAGTTTGTATATTATCCAGCTAGTTTACAAACTATACAAGATTTATCGCTAAAGCGCACACCACAAGAAAAGTACACAAATTAACCGTTGTTTTGACTAATTTACAAACTATCCAAAGTATTTGGATAAATTATGGACCTAATATTCGTAGTAACACATAATAACCAACTCGTCGGTTAGTATGTAAACTGGCCAATTCTCTTTGGTCAATTTAGTTTAGGATAGTTAAAAATAAAGTTTATTTATAGTTACAACATATCATTACCATCACTATTAAAAAATAAGTGAAGTAAGTAAAAGTGAAATAAAACTACTAAGTTTACTATATCACTATAATCACTTCCAAAAGTAGGTTTTCAAATTGTTGCCTTTGATTCATTTTCAATAGGTAGCTACTATTAAACAAACTTTGCAAGACACCCCAGTAAGCAGCACATAACATTTACCATAAAGATAATCTTACTTTTCTAATAAATTAACCAAAGAGGATTGGTCAGTTTGCATACTAACCGATGAATTGGTTATTATGTATTACTACGAATATTAAGTTCACACCTTATCCAAATAATGTGAATAGTTTGTGAACTAGCAAAAAACACCGGTTAATTAGTGTACTTTTCTTGCGGTTTGTACTTTAGCTATAAATCTTGTATAGTTTGTAAACTAGCTGGATTGTATACAAACCAACCAATATTCATAGCCATTTTAGTAGAAATATGATTGTCCATCAAAATAACCAGACATTTGAATAGTTTGTATACTATCCAGCTAGTCTATAAACTAGCCAAGTGAACACTTTAACCGTAACATATATAAGAAATAGGCAACCCATTTGCGGTATATTTATAAACATATTTTATTTAATAAAAATAAACTTTTATCCATTAAACAGATGGGTGAAGGTCGACGGATCCTGTACTAAAATTCAAATTTGGAAAAGACGAAACATGAAAAAACTGTAAAATTTGTAAGACTGAAAAAAAGAATTTTTCAAGTAATTTGCGCATTAGTACCCAAATTGGTAATAAGAAACACTTATGTCTCTCTGTCACAGTCGTTTTACAATTGATATTTAAAGTAATAAGTGGCCCATATAGGCGTTAACTAAAAACGAAAGTTAGTTGGGGAAACAGGGGGAAGAGATTAAATTGGAAGTTAGAATTTTTCTGATGCAATCCTGTGATGTCAATTGAAAGCATTTTGTAACATGTTTTCAAAACGGAAGAAGATAGAGATATAAAACAAAAATTAGAGAAATATTATATTTTTGTTGTAAAGAGATGCACTTTACTTGAGACGTAAGATAGAGGGCGTTACTATATTTAAATTTTCTAATGAAAAATAGTCATGTGATACCTCATTTGAAAGATATATTGATTATATTTACGTCAAAGCAAACAATTTTAATTTTTTTTGGTTTTTACAAAAATTACCTTCTTGATAATCCTCGTGTGCCGCAATAATCGTAGAAATGTTAGATAATGTTAGAAGATAATTTTTAAATATGCTTTTTTTATTGCTAAGAAGTTATGAAAGAACATTTTAAACATTTAATACGTTAAGTGGTTTTTAGATCACTTTTGATATTCTTAATTTATTTATTTTAATAAATACAAGAAGCGTTTCCTTAGTAATAAACAATAATAGTTAATACGAGGGTTATCAAGAATGTTACTTATTAGTAAAGGCGCAGAACATGTCTGTATAAGAACAAAGTACCAGCTACAAAATATAGACATTTGTACAGAGTTAAATCCCTCTGTAGTGACAAATTACTTAAATTTATAAAAGATAGTGACATTTACTAAGTACTAGCCAAAATATTATTTATCCATTGTATACTATTGTTAAAAACAGTATTTCTAAGGTATTATACCTCCAGTAATGACCCTTTGAGTTGAAGAGATAAACAAAAAAAAAACATAATTTAACTTATTCTAATGTAATTTCTGTAAAGACATAAAAATCTTAATCTGTTTGCATGGACGTAAAAATAATGAAAATATTTTTCAAATGAGGTATCACTTGACCCTATTTTCCATTAGAAAATTTAAAGCTAGTAACGCCCTGTATCTTACGTGTCTCAAGTAAAGTGCATCTCGTTATATCAAAAATATTATCGTTTTTTTTGTCATTATCTTCTTCCATTTAGATTTAGAAACATCTATGAAGCGTGATCCCTACCCACAGACTTTGACTAGCGGCTGTAAGAAGTACCCCATAAGATTTACCTACTTAAAAATTGGCTGTTCTACACAGCTGCCGTCATAACTCTCGAAAAGCAGAGAATTTTTGATTATTTTATTTTGAAAAACTTAGAGGTGTAATGGATTCTGATTAGTAGGATATAAAAGTTACTCTTTAAGGTCTACTAACAGTAAATAATTGAATTTCACAAATTAATCATATCGAAAAAATAATTATCTTTTTATAAAGGGTGGTTTTCTATAAAATGCCAGGGGTTTAGAACATTCAGTTTTTACTGTAAGTAGATCTTATAAGGTACTTCTTATATTCACTAATCGTAATCTGTTACGCTACATAGTTTTTCAAAAAAAAAAAAATAATAATTATCTTTTTAAAAAGGGTGGTTACTCTATAAGACTCCAGGCGTTTAGGGCATCTAATGTAAGGCATTTAATGTATGCATGTATGCATTTAATGTAAGTAGTCCTTGTGAGGTACTCCACTAATCGTAACATGTCACGTTACATCGTTTTATTAAAAAAAAAAAGAATTATCTTTTAATAAAGGGTGGTTTTTTTATAAGAGGCCAGGTGTTTAGGACATTCAATTTTTTACAGTAAGTAGACCTTATGAGATAATTTTTATATCCACTAATCGTAATCTGTCACGGTATAGTTTAAAAAAAAAACATATTTGTCCCGCTTTTCCCTTTCGTAAATCTGGCAACCCTAGTTATTACCCTTTTGTAGAATTTAAAATTTTAATACGAAATATTCATCTATACTCATTTTTTTACCCATAATATTAAATACTTTTTATGTTCAGTATAAACATAAAATTTTGGTTCATAAGTATTTGAAATAATAAATCTTTGTAAGGTTTAGTTTTTAATTCAACTTTTAAAGTTTGTGGCGACATCTAGCGAGAGTTTAATGAAACTATTAAATATAGTTACAGTTTTCCAATATCCGCGCGCAGTGCTCTGGCAAATATCTGATAGGTAGCGCCACGTAATTTTGTATTAGATTATTTAGATTTTTAAAAAATTGATAGTTTCTCAAAAAAATATTAACTCGGCAACGATCGTCGATAGAAAAATAGTTGTTTATTAGAAAAACTTTAGATAATTTAGATCACAACTATTATGTAAAATAAAAGGCTGAAAATTTATTCATTTTGGCAGAGTAGTGATTACTTTTAATGTTAATGTCGATTAAACGTGTGTCTCAAATCTATGCCAAAGAGAATATTATGTCCCTTATCTTTAGATTTAGTCACTAAAAAAAAGGTTTTAAATATAAATTACGGGGAGTCCTGATCACCGTATATAGAAATTGTTTTAAAACATTAAATTCTTATTTTGTGGTTATTTAATTGTTTTATATATTTTTCAGACCCCTGGCGGCGAACGATGGTATATAAGTAGTTTGGGCCTTAGCGTTAGTCCAGATTTACCCCAATTTCATGGTATTCCCATCCAAAGTAAGTTTTTCAGAAAAAAATTATATATAATTATACACACGTGACAAAGAGACAGTGTTCCTTTTTGTAAATAATCTTCTTCATACGAAAATGTGTATAATACAGGGCTTCCTAACTTTTTCAGGTTGAGTCCCCTTCAAAACTCATGAAAATCTTCACTCCCCACCTGCTATCATTTGGGTTATACACAGAGTGTCCTGTTTTATTTTGACCCTTTTTAAATCTATATAAGTTTTCTTCTCAGAAGTCTTCTTCCAACCTGTCTGTCTTTTTTGTTCACATAGATTATGTAAATTCTAGTAGAGAATATTTTTAGATATTCAGAAAGAAGCTCTTTTCGGTTTCCAAACATTTAGCATATTATTATGTGCAATGGTTTATGAATACAAAAACATAATCCTCTTATATGTTAAGTTTTTAGAAAAGGAAAAGAAGATCTGATTATCTAAAAATATATACAGGATGGTCCAATTATTTCGCCGCGGAATGTAGAGTCTAAACTAATTGAGATATCGAAATGAAACAAAACCGTTTCATTTTCCACAAAAATCCCTATGACTAAAGAATTGTTTGATTTATACAGAGTGCAAAAGTAGCAAAAATGTTGGTGACTTTTTTATTGAAATACCCGGTATATTGAAAAATAAAATTTAGGTTTCTATTTCAGTGGTTATTATGCCAATATTTTGTTTTTGCAAATCTGATGTTATTCAAATTTTTATTATATTTTCTGAAAAATCGGTACAATTCAAAAACACATTAGTCTACGAATTAAAAAAAAAAAATTGGGTAAAGTTATTTTTGATAATTATTTCAATAATATATATAGGGTGTTTATTACATAAGATTATGTTTTCGAAAATTTAAATATAAAAAACTTGGTTTTTTAAATTACGCAAGCTTTCTGAGGATACAACATGTTATAGGTTTAAATTAAACCGGTTCAAAGTTTTTTGACCGAAAAGTTCATTGAGCTAGAACACAAAAATAATTTATTTTTTTTAACTGGTAATATTGTGTGTAATATTCATTTTAATGGTATTGTAAACTTTTGAAGGTTTATTCATCGGAGGTAACTATGTAAATTGAGATGAACTTCCAGTTCAGGAAAATCAAACACAGATGAACCGTACATTGATTTAATTCACTTGTTACGAACGATTACAGATTTATGTACAGGGTAATTCTTTTATCATGGGAAATGAGTTTTTCTCGTAAACGGCTTCAGCAAATTGAGTTCTGTAAAAATATTTCATTTAGGCCGATTGATGCTTGAAATTGGGATGGATACGGAAGTTATAATTGAGCGACGCTGGGCGTCGCGACGCTTCACAATTTTTTTTTAGAAGCATACCATTTTTATTTCAGAAATTGAAAGATTTATTCAATAGAAACACTTTTTTCAAATACCATTTTTTTTCATCTTAAATCACTCAAAAGTTACAGACCAGTTTTTATGCTTTAAATTTGTCTATTGTCACACAAAGAATGCATGGGTTTTTAAAATTCACTAAATTAGGTAGGCTTTGAATAAACAAACTTGGCTTATATTGATTGATGTCTGAAACTGTCACAGTAAAATAGTAAAATAGTAAGTATGCATTCTTTGTATGCCAATCGACAAATTTAAAACATAAAAACTAGACTGTAATTTTTGAATGGTTTTGGATAAAAAAAGTGATATTTAAAAAAAGTGTGTACTGAATAGATCTTTCAATTTCTAAAATAAAAATGGTATGCTTCTAACAAAAAAATTTGTGCAGCGTCGTGATGCCCAGCGTAAATGAAATAGTTTCACAGAACTCAATTTGCTGCAGCCGTTTACGAGAAAAACTCATTTCCCATGATACAAGAATCACCCTGTACATATACAGGGTGTTTCAAATTTAAACGGACACAAATTAATGGGACGTAGAGTACACTTAGTTGAGTTCAAAACGCTCTCATACTTAGCCTTTAATCTCACTCATTTCTGAGATATAGGGTGTTTTATGATTTTTTGCCAAAACTAAAGTCGGCCATTTTGTTTGGACGGCTAGAGATATTTTGATAAAATTTAGTACAACAGTTACACTCTCTTAGGTTAATTAAAGCCATAATTTAATTTAAAAAAATTCCAGGACCGCCCTCTCTTTTTTTATATAGCTTTTTTAGCTAGAATATCACCCTGTATATCGGATTTTAATAAATGTTACTGCACAATTAAATAGTACGTGGATCAATAAATGAAATAATGTAATAATATTTAATGGCACATCTTGATTTTCTTACAGTAAAATTTTATAATGGCGATATTATAAATCAGTATTTACAAAATTGAAATCAAATATTTTACTCTGTATTTTTAAAACTCTACACAAATTAGGTACTATCTTCATTTATTTTTAACTACTGCATTTTCCAATAAGAAATTGAACATCTACACAGGACTGGACTCACTTTATTTGATAAACTAAAACGTTTTAACAGGTTTTTCACTGATTTGTCAATTATTTCCGGTTTATTTCTAATGTTGTTACATATTTTATTAATTTTTTCCAATAACTGTGCTCGGGTATTTATTTCTTCGTTGTACACATCTGATTTAAGGTAGTCCCATAAAAAATAATCCAGAGGTGTTAGATCTGGAGATCTTGGTGACCAATTGACGCAACCGCCTCAACCTATCCATTTGTTTGGGAAACGATGATTTAAATGGTCTCTGACAAGTATTTGAAAATGAGGTCCAGCACCATCGTGTTGAAACCACATTTCTCTGGTATTAATCCTTTCTAACAAATTTGGCAGGATGTCTCTAAGGAAATTTAAATAAACTTCAAAAACATGAGGGCCCATTAAATGATTTTTATAAATACCACACCATACATTTATAGAAAATCTATATTGGGAATGTTTTTGTGATACAGTGTAAGGATTTTCAATTGCCCAAATATGACCATTGTAAATTTAAATTGGGATTCATCAGTAAATAAAATTCTCGATATTGTCCTTCTGTGGGCCAAAGTCTATCTACAAAAAGATGAGCTGTACTTTTTACATGAAATGGATGCAAATTTTCTTTTTTTAAAGTTTTCCATACTCTTGTTATCGGTACTGCTAATTCATTACTAATTCTTCTCACACTGATAGAAGGATTATTTCGAGCTAACTGTAGTATCTCCTCTTCTTGTCGAAGACTATTTCTCGGAGCATGTTCATATTTAACTGTAGTTGGAAACTTTCCATGTTGCTTACTGAAATCGAAAACCTGTAAAAATGTTTCCGTTACAAAAACCGAACACAAAAATAATGTCTGCATATTCTTCATTACTAAACTTAAACGGCATCCTGAAATACTTATTTTCATACCATTAGAAACTTACACTTATGAACAGAAGTAATTTAGCTCAAAATACTGTACATAAAAAATCTGATGTGTCCAACACATGACTTTCCTATCTAGTTATTATAGGCTTTTCCCGGTTATTTTGTACAACCTATTGCAGCATCTTTATAAATGTTTAGAGGATAAACTAAATATATACATTGTCCACATACATGTACCTCGAAACATTTTTCTATAGATATTCATTGAAAACGAAAATACTGAAAAATTTAAATTTAGCACTTTTCCATTACGGTCCATTTTAAAAAAATCATGTATAAACAAAAATTATAGAGATCGATATCGCAAACAACTTTTAGTTCAACAATTTTCATAAAAATCAGAATTTTGCACATTTTGTCAAATTTCTCGAATACGGACCATTTCAGGAAATTTTGACATAAAACAAAAATTATAGATAATAATATTAAAAGTAATTTTTATTTGAACAATTTTCTTCTCCAAACATAAATAACATATATTCCATAAAATATAAAAACGGCCTCCCATAAAGTACCCCCCTAGATGTTCCGACTTTGTCCAAAATCTAATCATTTCACGTCAGGCCGAAATAAAACTTAAGTTTAAAATTTAATGTTTTTTTCTTTATCCGTTCTTGAATTTTCTTCATAATTCGAAATTTACACATTTTCTCAAATATCTCGAATACGGTCCATTTTAGAGAAAGTATAGTTATTTGAACAATTTTTATAAAAAAATATTTTTTTTACATTTTGTAAAATTTCTTGAATACGGACCATTTAAGGAAAATTTTGTATAGAACGAAAATTATAGATAATTATATTAGAAGTAACTTTTATTTAAAGAATTTTCTTCTCCAAACGTAAATAACAGATATATTCCATAAAATATAAAAATGACCACCTATAAAGTACCCCCCAGATGTTCCGACTCTGCCCAAAATCAAAACGTAAAAATCCGTCGAAAACTCGAGGTCGAAAAAAATCATGATTCCTATACTTTCCTTATATCTGTATACAGATAGGAAAGTAATAAATTATATTATTTGACACAAGCCTACTGGTATTATACAATTTTACATGAATGAGTGATGGTGTAATTTGGCGCATATTGGCTGTTGACTAAATTGAGTTTTCAGCTCGTTTGTAAAATACCTAGTTTCTTGAACTTTTAATTTGATTTCATCAGAGTTTTAGTTCGTTTAAGTTTTAGTTCATTTTAATTTCCAAATATAATTACCTAAAGATGAACGTGGAGAGAGGAATGAATGAGGCGGTTCGAAATCATCTTCCTGTTAGTGTAAGAATTAGTAATGAATAAGAAGTACCTAGGTACCAGAAACAAGTATATGAAGAACTTAAAAAAAAATTAAATTTATATCTATTTCATGTACAAAAAGTACAGCGACTTGAACACACATAAAATGTTTGGTGTGGAATTTATAAAAAATCACTTAATACCCAAGCACCTTGATTGAAAAAAATTAACAATCTATGTAACAACATTAGAAATAAACGTTTGCAGACGCGTATTGATGGTCACGGTGTTCATTTTGAAAATCTACTTTAGTTTTAATTATTTGTTTCTGTTAGTTTGTTCCATTACTTTATTAAATAAAGTGAGCCCGGTCCTGTGTAGATGTTCAATGTTGTAGTTAAAAAAAATGAAGATGGTACATAATTTGTGTAGAGTTTTAAAAGTACAGAGTAAAATATTTGATTTTAATATTGTAAATACTGATTTATAATATTGTAGTTGCCATTATAAAAATTTACTGTAAGAAAATCAAGATGGTGCCATTAAATATTATTACATTATTTTATTTATTGATCCACGTACTATTTAAATATGCAGTAACATTTATTATAATCCGATATACAGGATGATATTCTAGCTAAGAAGAACAATATAGAAAAAAGAGAGTGTCCGGTCCTTGAATTTTTTAAAATATACGGTGTTATAATAAGTAATGTTATTTTTAACAGACACGTTATTTGTGAACAGGTTGTAATTTCTGTGGGTTTATAAAATAACAGACCTGTTAAAAATAACACAGGTTGTCAATCATAACCCCCTAAATCATGGTTTTGATTAACCTAAGAGAGTGTAAATTTTATCAAAATATCTCTAGCCGTTCAAACAAACTGGCCGATTTAAGTTTTGGCGAAAAATCATAACACCCTAGATTAAAGGCTAAGTATGGGGGTGTTTTGAACTCAGTTAAGTGTACTCTACCTCCTATTAAGCTGTGTCTGTTTAAATCTGAAACACCCTGTATACACTAATTTTGAGCATAATATAAAAAGAAAATTGATCCTATTTTTTTTGTATCCGATGGTGAAAAATGATAACATAAAAAGTAATCAGCAAATATGTTATAAAACATACTTTTTCTGTTACGTTTGTAGGGAAATCTTCTATCAAATTGTACCATCGCCAAATGCTGATTCCCACCACAGTAGGCAAGTCGTACTCATGCAGCGAATTGGAAGTGCCCTTAGAAACGGACGAAGAAGACAACCCACCGCCTGGTTTGAGAGGTACTTTATATTTGAGACTGCTCCAAGTGCAGCCTTTCATGTACAAGAGCGAGGAATTCGAACCAGCTCGTGAATGCAAACCTCAGATGTTATATAGGTAAGAAATAACGTTAGTGTAAATAAAAGCTAGTAATAGGGAAAATTATGTTAAATGTGTTACTAATAGTGTGCAGTAGCAACATATTTACTAAATTCAATGAGTCAGTCAACTTATTCGGACTGTGAAAATGTATCCAACAATTATCAAAATTAGTTTGCCGGTCACTACTGAGTTCATGGTGTTTAATATTATAAAAAGGGATAAATTTACAGCTAGCCCTATTGGTATTCAGTGTTGTTCCTGGTTGTACAATTGTACAAAATGTTGTACAATCGGTTATGAGGTTGCACTGTTGAACGCACTTGTGAGAAAAGAAGGAAATGTTGTACAATTTGAAGTTGCTAAATATTTATGTAAAATCTGGTATATAAAAGGCTTTATCCTGCTTAAAAAGTCTACAAATCGTTATGTCTAATGAGGTAAAGTTTATAAAACAATTTAATTTAAATAAGGCGCCATTCGCGACCAGTCGAAATCATTTTGAAACTTATATCCTTTAAAAAAAAAAGAAGAATTTTATACTTTGAGAAGTGGTAGGCCGTGGGATGGCCGTGAAAAAGAAGATTAATTAGTGGTTGTACAATCAAACGTAAAAGTGAACAATTTTGACATTGAAAGTTGTACAATTCCTATGAACAACACTGTTGGTATTACTTCTTTTATAGTTATAGGGATTGATTTTTAATCTTGCTTTAAAGAGCTTACAATTTCCTTCAGTGTGGAAAGAAGCCAAAATTTGTCCGATCCTTAAGAGTGGAGATAAGTTTGTAGTAGAGAACTGTAGGCCAATATCCATCTTCTCTAACTTTTCGAAGGTCTTTGAGATGATCATGTGTGTGACCATGTTTACACCTCCTCATCTAAAAGCAGATTTCTTCACGGCATAGTTTCCTCAAACAAAGATCAACAGTCACCAATCTTATAACAATCACACAGTATTTATTAGAGGATTTAGATCATTGATATAAAGAAGAGATACTATGACGATGCTAAAGTGCCCGCACCTTCGCATTACAATTTTAGGTCAAATGTCAAACTTGAGATAGTGGAGCTGGTCAGTTTTGGTGAGAATTAATGCCATTGTTTTTAAATAGCTTCATTTAAATGATATAAAATAATTTTCATTCAGTCAGTCTTCAAATATTATAAAATTATTGACTTCAAATAAATCAAAGTACGACACAAGTCGCAAAATAGTATGTATGTCGTCTCTATGAAGACTAGAGAGAAGGAGGCGAATCGGCAAAGGTAAAATTTTAAATTTCCATCCTTATTTTTATAAACTTCGCGAAATTAACTGTAGTTGGCAGGTCGAACGTCAGCGTTGTCAATTTTCTATAAGTGTCAATGTAAAATGAAATGTTTTTTTAAAAAATTGGTGAAAATAATCAAAATAATGTGAAAAAAAGTACCTGAGTACAAGTAATATGAGTGACCAAAAACATCACAGCAAGATTTACTTCGTTCCAGATTGTAAAACGGGATACAAATCAGATAAAACTAACGAAAACAAGGAGAAATCAATTCAATGTCTTTTTAAAGCTTCTAATTTAAATAAAATAATGTATTGATTTCTGAATATAATATTTATTGTAATATAGTCACAACCCGTATCTTACGGAGTGTAGTTTAGTTTATTACAAGTTTCTATAATAGAAAATTTTACAGTCATATATCCTGACTTGCAATCAACAATAATTACACATTAAATTTAATTTACAGAAAAGTAAAATTAGTATTTTATAAAGTTTTATTGTTAAATGAAGAGTTACTACTGTTATTTTTTTGTTGAACCCCAATTTTGTCATTGTAAATTTTTTTTATAGGATCCTAAACGCTATCATCAAAAGAAGCCCATTACATTACACAGACAAGTCGAAGCCCGGTTGTACGGGAGGGCTTGGGACTTGCAAATAAAATAAAATTATATTATTTCATAAGTTCGTTGGTGTATATTTAACATGATATATATCTCACAGTTTATTAGAAGCCCAGCGGTGTTGCCTGAGTTATAATTTTTAGATTTTTCGACTATTGTGACAGACTATCAATTTGCGGGAGGATGTCACAATTTATTTAAAATATTTTCTACGAGTTTTGAGATCCCAGAGGTCATCACCGAATTTCTGACATTATATATGTTAATCCTATATAGGGTAATTTCAAAGTTTTCAAATAAATAACCTTTTTCAAATAAATAACTTTCCAAATAAATTACTAACTTTTTAAATAAATAACTTTTTTCAAATAAATAACTTTTTCAAATAAATAAAATTTTGAAATAAATAAACTTTTTGAAATAAATAACTTTTTGAAATAAATAACTTTTTCAAATACATAACTTTTTCAAATAAATAACTTTTCAAATAACTTACTTTTATATATACAGAAATCATTTAGCTCGATAGCCACGTTGATGACCTCGGGGCCACAAAAGAAAGAAATTTATGTATTAAAAAAATCCACATTAGTCGGAAAGTACGGGAGTTTTTAAACATTACTTTTCCCAAATAAATGTAGCTGTTAAAACGGACCAGTTGCATGGCTACCAGATTGTTTAGTTTAATGAACACACATTTAAAAAAGAAGTATCAATTTTGGAATTACCCTGTACACTATATTTGTGTTATTCCTCGAACAATCAACTGCATGTACCTACCAATCATAGCCATGAAAGTCATTCTTAATCTCACTCCACATACTTTGATTACTATACGAGGCAAGAGAGAGGTCTGACACGCCCAACATAGGGCGCGGCCATTTTGAACCCTGTGACACAGTTTACAGCTAAACAATCAGATTGCTCACTCTGCGTCGGCACTTTGGATCTCAATGTTTCTGTTTATACACTGTGCAACTCGGATAATACAATATATGACAACCGCCTATAATAAAACAGCAGTCTTCTGCGTATCCTGAATTTGTATCCCTGGAGTGGATGTTATTTTGGAGCTTTCAACTGGTCCGAGTGAGCTAACTGATTCTTTAGCAATAAACTGTGACTCCAAAAATAATATTCACTGACACTGACAGCAGCAAGCAAAATATTAGGTGCGTTTTAATCATCCGCTTCTGCTTCCGGAATTGTCGGTTCAGTCGTTCTAACCTGTCAGATTAAAACAAGAAAACCGACAATTCCGAAGCAGAAGCGGATGATTAAAACGCACCTATTAAAAATATTGCGCCAAGATGTAGGCAACACGTAATAAGGGTTCAAAATGGCGGAGTTTTCTATCTCCTTTTAAAAGGCACTCAGAAAGCTGCGCAGTGCGACCATTCTCCGTATAGTAAAAGAAAATTAAAGTATGTGTCTCACTCCCTTTGATATTTACATCAAGGAGGTTGCTCTGATGACAATGACATGAACTTCGTACGATTGGAATAGATAATAGATGCAGTATCTGGCGAGACGTCGCTTTTGGCGAGAGGTCCTCGAATTCATTAGTTCAAGTGAACATGGACTCCATCTCACCGATATATATCTTCCATAAGCCATATAAAGTTATAAGGGAACAAATAGAAGAGTTGGAAGTGGCTACACCGAAAATTCTAAAACAAAACAAGGCTCAGGATGTGGGATATAGTACCCATCCTTAAGCCTAAACATAAAATGGGCTGTAAGCGATAATGCCAGTGCAGTTCAAACCGAGCTCACGGGATTCTCATAGCAGACAAACACTATTCACCCTGGACAGACCATGAATTTACTCAGGATTAGTAATAGAATGTCACGTAGCTTTGGTCGAAGTATCTACCAATGATGTGGTCAATTTAAGATAAATCAAGCGTCACCACATCGAAAGGTAACCGTCTTGCTGATTCACTAGCCAAGAAGACAGACAACCAAATAGTTTTGGACCTGGCCCTTTCATTGCACTGATAACATCGGTAGTGGCAAACCTATTTGAATAACATTTCCTTGCAAAATTCAAGGAAAGATGGGATGAAACAGGAAGCTGAGTTATCAGGGCGCTTTTAAGTTATTCCAATAACATAACAGCAAACAAATAGTTAACTAAGGGTCCTATGATTGAACGTTTACGTTAATTTTAACACGAATCTGTTATGTTATGCTAACAGGAAGTGACTAACGTATGAAATAACAGTAGGTGTCGTATCGATATGATTGAAAGAATCGATAACAGAAGATGTTAAGCTGGTTGTTACGAATGGAAGAAAGTATTTATTGCGCGTGTGCACAAAATGTACCTAACTTCACTTCATTTCTAAAAATGAGGTTTTTCATGTTTTTCTGAATGTAAAAACAACAACAATTAGGTTATAATTTTTTGTAGTTCATTTTTCATTTTATTTAATTTATTATGGCGAAAAGATTAGCTAAAACAACTGTGTAATAGTATGAGGAACTACTTAATTTTGTTAGAAAAAAAATTATTCTCACGGGGAAAACAAATATATTAGATAAAAAAAATATCAAATCATATAAATTAAAAACAAATTCAAATATACTAAGAATTTAGATAAATAGCAATATAGGTATTAGATAATTAAATAATAAACAAATAAAGTGATAACATAGACGTTGGGCACTTAACGGCATGTTATTCGAGGCTGTTGAGGCGATATGTTAAATTAGAACATAACAGATGGAAACTAACAGTAATGTGTTATGAAAGACTTTACATCATACGAATTTGTCTCGTTGTTGTTAAAACTCGACCTAACATGTGCGTTACGGATAACGTAAACGTTCAATCATAGGACCCAATGACTAGACAGAACATGTGCCTGACCAGGCATTCTGACTGGTCATTGCCAAGCACAGAAGCATGTGGCTGTCAGAATCCGCACTCTGCGGAATATACGAACAAGAAGATGAGACCATCAAGCATATATTCTACGCTTGCCAAACATTCTCAATTATCAGAAGATTTGTGTTCGCTGAGCATAGGCTAACACCGGTCGATATAAGAGAAACACCTCTCGATGACGTTGTCAACTACATTAAATCTGTAGACTAGCTGACAAACTAAGAT